CGTCCCCCACCATGGCCACGCGCAGCAACAAAAGCATTAACAGGTGGATTATCAGCCATAAAAGGATTTTGACCCATCATTATGCGCCCGGTGGTTAACAGAAGTGCCTCAAGAGTATGATAAGTAATAGGGGAATCCCGAGCTTAAGCAGCACTTAACCTCATTTCAAAGGCAAGTCGGAGATTGTTCAACATAATCTGCACAAGTTCATCATCATTCACTGGTTGCCCCGCTAGGGCAAGATTATCGACTATGGCATTTATGCCATCCAGGTAGTCCGTGACAGAGAGATTGTCTTTTTTGGGTTGTAGCAACTCGTTTCTCATAAACAAGATTCTGTTTTGTGAGGTAGAAACATACCTCTGCTCTGAAGCTTCCCATGTGGCCCAAGCAATCTTCTTGCTTACCACAACAGAGAGTACAGAAGCAGCTAAAGAGCCATTTATCCAACTGAGGATCATTTAATCCTGTTAAACCCACGCAGTGTACGCGGGATTGACCGTGGTCACGCCAGGCAAGTCCTTGGGAGGGCACACCAAAGTACCATCCACATACCCCCATAAGATCTCTACTCTTAAGAATTGGGAGAATTTGAGCCAACCATAGTGGGTAGTTGGTCCAGCCAAGTTTGATGTTTACAACAGCGGAAAAAGGATGAAATGGATTGGTGGTAGGGTTCGTGGGATTGGTGATATGGGGTGGGATTGGAAAATTTGACATTGTTTTCAGCCATTAAAGTGTGGAGAAAAAAAAATGATCTTAGTCGTTAGACTTAGTAAGGCTCAATACCATGTAAAACTTAAGAAAGCTGAAAGTTTCACTTCAATTGCATACCCATCAAAACTGGGATGCATGCATTTATAATCATCTCAAGGTTACAGCATGGGTTTGAAAACCCTAGATACAAGGAAGTTTTGAAAGTTTAAAAATACTAACAGAAAGCTATAAGGATTACATGCGCAACTTATATTACATCAGATATTTGAAAACAAATCTTATAAACTATGAATGGTTGAAATGATAAGAGTTTGAAGTAAATCAAACTCCTAAAGATGCGGTGATAACAGCTTCACGTTGACTTCGTCTAACACATTTTACAGCAAGTACAAAATTTTGGGGAACCTTTCTTCTTGGTCGTCAGTGAAGGGGAAACTTTAGCTGAAGTTAAAATAGGGATACAAAAAAAATTGCAGGTCCCGGATAAGGAGTTCTCGAAGGTACTTAACCCCCAGCTTATATTCATTGGGATGGGGTCAGTAGAGAAAATGAGTGTTCCTTACTAGTATAAATGATCGTTTATTTTGCTTCCTTGTCAATTTCCCTTTTCGTTGTGTAGAGGAAGTTTGCATTCTTGTGACTTGGTCGTCCAGAGTAGCTGCAAGATTCTGATATTGTTTCTAGACGATTTCAGGTGTATCTATGGTCTATCGCAACTCATGTCACCCTTTCTTTCATGTTATGTCTGCGAGCCAATACAAACTATGTTTATGGGATTGCCTAGTTGGTTTTTTTTTTTAAACTCCAACATTTGAATTTTGTTTTCCTCAGAGTAGGAAATTTTTGCTGCATGAGAGCAGTGCCTTGGGCTGAAGCACTAAGAACATGCCAGGAATGCAGGCAAGGTAGATGAGACTGGCCATGCAGAAATGCCAAGACAGAAACGACGTCGTCGCCATATATGATGCCAAGGTAACAAAACTTGAGGCTGAACTAGCCCGAATTAATGCACAACTGGTGCAAGTAAAGGCATAACGAGCTCAAGGAATGGCGGATAGCTCTTTAAAATATGAAAACTTACCTTGTTGTTATAAAAGCATGGCTCTGTTAGAACCTAGGCTGTCGGGCAACTTAATTTGGTATCGAATTTGCTATCCATGAGATTTGAACCTAAGACCTATCACTTCGAAGTGAAGAGGAATACCATCAGATTTGACTCATAAGTTTGTATGAACATGCAAAAGAAGGGAACAAGTCGTGCAAAATTTAGGTAGCCTGTTTCCTTACGTTGCTCTAGTTTAAGTGAGAAGCAAGGTGATTGTATTGATGGGTATTTTTTTTTGGATGAATCTAGGATATCCCCCGCACATAGGCAATGACCAATCCTCGAGCCGGGTCGGACCCCATTCAGGGGGCAAGCTTTTCCAATGTTGGCTTCTCCATTCACAAGGCTTGAACTCGAGACCTTGCTTAAGAAGAACAAGCTCCTTACCACTTAAACCACCAAACATTGGTGTTGATGGGTATTTTTCGTTTACTCTCCTACCCCACCTCGTTTGCTTACTCCCAAAAAATTTATGTCTTTGGCTTAGTCTGTGTCTTGCTAAAAAGCCAATCTTTGTTTAACAACCACACATTGTCTAACCAACTCTTTCTTGCGGAGGAGTAGCGGCCGATCTATCTCATGGCAAAAGGAATTGGCAGAGTATGCAAGCTAGACTTTGAAGTAAAAAATCCAAGGTTTTATAAATTGATGAAGGAAAAACCAACGTGGTGGATGGGTCAAGCTCTGCATTTGCAATCGAATCATTATGACTACTAGATGCTCAACAAAATGGCTCGATAAAGCTTTTTTGGTTGATATTATGACCCTATTAACTAAACAATCTGGCTCTGCCACTTTCTGTGTGTATATATTCAAATTTTAAAATGAAAGAAAGAGAAGTTGGAAAGAAATGTGAGAGAGAGAGAGAAAAAAAAAAGAGAAAATGGGAGTTTTATTTTATTTTATTTTTTTCTTAAATTAAAAGTGCTATGACTACATGTTAGTGAGGTTTGAAAAAAAAAAATACAACGAAGTTTGACTTGGGCGGAAACTTTATTCTTTTTAGGGTAAATCTCAGTTTACTACCCTCAAGTTTCGTGGTTTTCAACATTTGGTACATCAAGTTTTTTTCTTCCCAGAGTCATACCTAAAGTGTTAATTTTGGAACAGTCTCATACATCCGTCAGTCAAACTATCAAGTCTGCCGTTAACTAATAACGTGGCGCTCATGTGGACAATGACTGGGCGCCACGTGTCAATAAAAAAAATTAAAATTATTAAACTATTAAAATAATTAATTAATTAAAATAAAATAATAAAAAAAATCCAGAACCCCTTTGTCTTCCACACCCCGACCCCCTTCCCTTATCCCTCCCTTCTCTCCTTTGCACCTACCCCAACGTCTGCACATCCATCATTCCCCCTCCCTCTTCGACTCCACCTACTCAACCCTCATCCTCTTCGACGACCCAGTTTCTCTGTATGCAACCACCACCTTCCCCCACCCCCATATTCCCCCACTGTTCTTCACTCTCCCTACAGATTTGACCGCCTCGTCTCTCCAGATTTGCAGTCGATTTTTCTTGCTTGCTTCTTCCTAGGCCCCATGTCCAAACCACATCCCCTCCTCTGTGGATCCACTCCTATCCCCTTCTCTATCGTCCCCACCCCAATCTCATCTCCAATTCTCTTTCATAAATTCCATTCCTAACCCCACAAACATGGAGAAAGGAATACCCATCCCCACCGTCGTTCGAGCACTTTTCTCCATTCGTCGGAGACCTTGTCGCCTCTATCCTTGATCTGGAAATATACCTTATTGCTTCAAACTTGTTGTGATTTTGGGTTGAAGGTTGCAGAGGGAGTGAGGTTGGTGATGGGAAGAGATTCTACAAATTGAAGCTACGGACCCTGCAAAGGAATTAAAGCTTGCTACCGCAGGTCTGGGGCGTGGGAGGAGGGTGAGACTGTGGGTGGCTAGGGCTCGTGGGTAAGGTGGTTGCACAGTGGGATTATTGTAGTTGTTTCTAGGTTTCTATGGGGGCTGCTGCTGGAGAAACCATTGGGGTAGGTCGCTTGGACTAAGAGGTGGTGGAGAAGATTGGAGGAGGCATGGAGATTTTAGAGCTGGATGGTGAGGGTGCGGGTATGGGTTGCATAGGAAAGAAAGGAGGAGGGGGTTGGGGGAGGTAGAAGACGGGCATTTTTTTTTTTTGGAATTTTGAATTTTGAATTTTTTATACCCCTTCTAAAAAAAATCCACGTGGACCCCTTAATGACACGTGGTGCACAGTCATTGTCTACATAGGCGTCACGTCATCAGTTAACGGCAGACTTAACAATTTAACTAACAGATGTATGAGACTGTCCCAAAATTAACACTTTAGATATGATTCTGGGGCGAAAAAAACTTGATGTACCAAATGTTGAAAACCACAAAACTTGAGGGTAGTAAACTGAGATTTACCCTTCTTTTTAAATAAACGATATTATCTACATTAAGGGGGTAAGAGGGTGGGGGAGTGGGTTAAGGCTCACAATGGGTGAGCCATAATAATGTGGTTCAAATTCGCCTTTGTTGAAAATCGAACCTAATACCTCTCACTTATCAATGAAGAGAAATACTATTAAACTGTATTACTAAATGACAATTTGGATGGAATTATATACTATATTTCATTTTTTGATGGAATACTAAACCGTCTTTTCACTTTTTTTCAATTGATAAGGAAAATTTAATTAATAAGTAGTTTTGAAAATAAGTACCATATTCATTATATGATGCTAAAAATGAGTCTCGATAAAAACTTTGTCAGAAATTTTAATCCTATCTAAGAATTATTTTTTATTAATAAGTAGTTTAAATAACTTTTCCAGACCGAGTGGTGGATGGATTGTATGAAAGTGGGAGAAGTCCAATACCAATTGTGTACAATTATTATAATTTATGACATCACCCACTTTGACAAAAGCTTGAATACCAGTGTACGAGGAAAGATCACATACGTCATTCGCCAGTGCACGTGACCCTCTGGTGACTGCCACGTCATCTATTTAATCCCACCCAACCATCTCGCCCCAGGTGTCGGCCTCCCACTGGTCCTTCCACACGCTAAAGATCTTACTCCTCTCATGTAAACCCACCGCACTCCGTCCTCCATTTCCCAAACTACCCCCGCCTTTTCACGAAATCCCCAATACGCCCCTCCCTGGACTTTGCACCCAGCGGCTTGTCTCGGAGCCAGTTTCTTACGGGAGTGTCCCCTCCTTCGCAAAACAAAGCCCCGCCTCTCTCCCCTCTCTCCCCCTCTCTCTCTCTGCCCCCGTCTTTCACTGGTATCGTTCGTCTCTCAGATTCGTCGATCGGACGGTTCGTTGCGCGGCAGCAATGACTATGATGACTCCTGCACCGTTGGATGTACGTACCGACTCCTCTACATTTCCACTCTCGGTTTAATTTCATTGGGTTTCGGCTTCGTTCTTCGTTTCTGATCGCCTATGGATCTTGGTGGCGTTCGGCGGTTTCGAACTGGGATGAATTTTGGGAATTCACCGACTTAAAGTGATTGATTTGCTAGGGTTATGATTCAGTAAGATAGGGTTAGGTTTTTCTCGATCAGAGCTCTGATTTTTGTTTCTTTTGTTAGCAGCAGCAGCAAGAGGACGAAGAGATGCTTGTGCCGAACTCGGATTTGGTCGAAGGTCCTCAGCCAATGGAAGGTTTAATTTTTAGCAATTTTTCGATGAGTTACTGTTTGAATTTCTTATGTTTGTGTTTATGGTGTGGTTTTGGAGCGTTATGTGTGGCGTAGTTGATCTGAAACAATTGGTTTTTGTGCGAATTTGGCATCACAGGGTTTGATTAGAGTGCAAGTGTTTGCATTTTCTTTAGGGTTTTGGTTTTGTTTTTTTGAAATTTATGGTATTTGGTGTGTTGGTAGTAGCCCAAGTGGAGCCAGCTAGTACAGTTGATAGTCAACCAGTGGAGGATCCTCCAACGATGAAATTCACTTGGACAATTGAGAACTTTACTAGGTTGAACATCAAGAAGCACTACTCTGACATGTTCGTAGTGGGCGGCTATAAATGGTATTTTTTCTTGTCTACCAGATGTCAAAAACTGATTATAACGCTACTTAAGATTGGCTTATATTTGTAGGTGATTGGATTTTGAATTGCTTTTGGTTTGTTTGATCAGGCGGATACTAATATTTCCCAAGGGAAACAATGTGGACTACTTGTCAATGTATTTGGATGTGGCAGATTCCGGGACATTGCCATATGGGTGGAGTAGATATGCACACTTCAGCTTGGCTGTAGTTAATCATATCCATACCAAGTACTCAATAAGAAAGGGTATATTCCTTTATTAGTCTTGTTTCTTTTTAGCATTCAAGTCTGTGCGTTTGCCTGGTTGTCGTATTCTGTTTTCTTGTTTTCTTTCAGTGAGAGCTTTGCTTGTTGTTGGGTAGTCATGGGCACCCAAGGCTTTTAATTAGAATTTATTATCCTTGGAATGGACCTACCTAAATGTGACTACGGGACAGAGGTTCGGGGCCGAAGGAGTAGAGGAAGACCTAGGAAAACTTTGGAAGAGACCCTAAGAAAAGACTTGAGTACTTGGATCTAACGGAGGACATGACACAAATGAGCGCAATGGCGTTCTAGGATTTAGCCGACCCCACTTAGTGGGAAAAGGCTTTGTTGTTGTTGTTGTTGGAATGGACCTACCTGGCTTTCAACTTCATAGTTCTTGGGTGATGCCATTTGAACGCAAACAATATCTAATTAACCACTCTAATCTTGTTATTGTGAGCTTTTAATTCTAATTTTTCTCATTGAAATATCAAAACTATAAAGTAAAGAAAATTCTTCCACCCCTTTCTCTCTAAAATCTTGGCTAACGGCAGCAGCACCATCGTCTGACTATGTGCCCATGGCGCCTTTGTTTGGGGATTTTTGAAGTTTGAGAAAAAGTGAATAAAAAAATTATGGATTAAAACGTACCAACAGATGTTAGAAGTAAATTGAAAACCAATAGATTATTCCTTTTAGGTATCTAGATGTCAAATATAGATTAACAGTAAAGGTAGAAACAGGAAGAATTTACTTGGAAATTACGTGCAATTAAAGGGTGAATTTCTAGGTAATGAAAAGGCTAACTGAATCAAGGGTTCCCATTTATTAAGGGATGAGCTTGAGGCGGGTCTGACGATCAGATATGGTAAAGAATTGTATTTTATTGGTGTGACCTATGTTCTAGAACATTAATTTGCAATGCGTTTAACCAGAATTGAACAATCTTTAATCATATTCAAGATGTTTTTTAAGACCTTTGTCGTTCATTGTTGTATGATGTTGCAGACACTCAGCACCAATTCAATGCAAGAGAAAGTGACTGGGGATTCACTTCATTCATGCCTCTTGGTGATCTTTATGATCCGAGTAGGGGATATCTGGTGAACGATACAGTTGTGGTTGAAGCTGAGGTTGCTGTCCGTAAGGTTCTAGATTACTGGTCATATGACTCGAAAAAGGAAACTGGTTATGTTGGGCTCAAGAATCAGGGAGCAACTTGTTATATGAATTCTCTTCTCCAGACTTTGTACCATATACCGTACTTCAGAAAGGTCATTTACGTGATCTCCTGTTTTCATTGTAAGCTAAACATGAATTGTTTGAATTTTCTATGAAAAGCATTATCTCAATTTTGGACTTACTTACCAGGCCGTGTATCATATGCCAACAACTGAGAATGACATGCCTTCAGGAAGCATCCCTTTGGCGCTACAAAGTTTATTCTATAAGCTTCAATACAATGACAGCAGTGTTGCAACCAAAGAATTGACCAAATCCTTTGGATGGGATACATATGATTCTTTTATGCAACATGATGTGCAGGAACTTAATAGAGTTCTTTGTGAAAAGCTTGAAGATAAAATGAAGGTATAGGAAGCTTTCAGTTTTTGCTATTGCTGTAGCTTTTGTTCATTTCATTTTGATAATTGTTCTGTGGGCCCAGGGAACTGTTGTGGAGGGTACAATACAGCAGTTGTTTGAAGGACATCACATGAATTACATTGAATGCATCAATGTGGATTACAAATCTACAAGAAAGGAATCATTTTATGGTAATATTTATTGGCACAATTTCAGTTGTTAAGAGTTGGAAATATTTTGTAAATGTCAGTGCATGCCACTGGTTTCTTCTTATTACTTTGCAGACCTACAGCTTGATGTGAAAGGCTGTCGGGATGTTTATGCTTCTTTTGACAAGTATGTGGAAGTTGAACGTCTTGAGGGTGACAATAAATACCATGCCGAAGAACATGGTTTGCAGGTTAATTACCGAATCACTTTCGGGGGGCTGCATTTATACTATACATATAATCTGAGGCTGCTCGTAGTTGCATTATTTCCAAAACTAGGGTTTACATTGTTTCCTCTGCAGTGAAGTATTTAATATATGTTCCGAAAACATGTGTTGGTGGTGTCATGCATGATATATTTTAAATTCTGATTGGATGCGTCCTCAGTTTTTTCTTTCCATTAAATCGCTTGCTGAAGCAAGTATTCTTACATATATTTCTTCGATATTAAAAATTTACAATATTGCTCTCAAGGAATATTTTGGATGTTTATTCCAGGATGCTAAGAAGGGTGTTCTGTTTATTGACTTCCCTCCCGTTCTTCAACTTCAGCTAAAGCGATTTGAATATGATTTTATGCGGGACACTATGGTTAAGGTTGGTACTGGAAGCTCATCTTCCTCCTTTAGCTTCATCTGTGTTTATACATGAAACATTGAAACTGTGATGTTTTACTATGAAGGTATGCTTCTTAGCTGAAAACAAAAGTGTACCATGTAAAATATATTTCTTCACATTTTGTATAAATTCAGGTGAAAGCTTGTCTTTGCCTAATGGGTTTCAATCTAATTTTAATTTTGTTTTATGACTGGATGCTGAAAGATGGATTAACCCCTATCAATATGGTTCTTTTTGTTCCTTTCTTTTTCTCAACAAAAAAAACAAAGCCTTTTCCCACCAAGTGTGGTCGGCTATATGAATCCTAGAACGCCATTGCCCCCGGTTCTATGTCATGTCCTCCGTTAGATCCAAGTACTTAAGTCTTTTCTTAGAGTCTCTTCCTAGGTCTTCCTCTACCCCTTCGGCCCTAAACCTCTGTCCCGTAGTCGCATCTTCTAACCGGAGCATCAATAGGCCTTCTTTGCACATGTCCAAACCACCGTAACCGAAAGAAAAAAAAAAAACCTCATTGTTTTTCAGTTTCTTTATAGTTGAACTTTCTCAATCTAATGGATTATTTTTATTCAAAGTTATATATACTAATGAAATTCGTTTTTACCTGTTGGGTATGTTTGTTCGTGTGGCAATGACATTTTTTTAAATGGAAAGCAAATAAATTATCATGGTAAGAATGTTGTATTATTTGTTTTTGGCAGATAAATGATCGCTATGAATTTCCTCTTCAACTTGACCTTGATAGGGAGAATGGAAAATATCTATCACCTGAATCAGATAAGAGTGTTCGCAACCTCTACACTCTTCATAGGTATCTATTTTGCCTTGTACTATTACATGATATAATATAGATCATCTATTTCCTAAATTTGGCATGTTATTTCAAAGGATTGTACTTTCTAGACCTTTGCATGTGCATGGCATTATTTACTGAGTGTAACATAACCAATTTTCTTCTTGTCTTGACATATGATATCCCCAGTGGATAGATCCAATTTTTTTCATTGAAATTGAAGCTGGGTTATAGAACTATCTAATGTATGGTCATTCATGATGTCTAGGAGTCTACTTATTTATCAAAGTTCTTTCATGCCTACGACTATTAAGGCATTGTGCCTCTACTATTAGTTGAGTGGGTGGGATTATGAAAAAAATTTCGGGTTTAATTTATCAGTTGTGCCCAGTAGTGATTATGGTAGTTAAAAATACTAATACAATATATATGAAGAGGGTTGTTCGATCCTGCTTTTGCATATGCCTGTTTGGTCATGTTGTGTGGAGCTTCATAAATTTTACTTTGTAGTTGGTTACTTACTATGATAATTTTCTACTGTTGCAGTGTCTTGGTGCATAGTGGTGGGGTGCATGGTGGCCATTACTATGCTTTCATCAGACCAACCCTCTCAGACCAGTGGTATGGACGGATCTCCTGGAATCGATTCTCTCTGTAGTTGTCTGGAGTCTCACACAGAAAACACATGAATGCAGAGACAGACATTCTCTCACACTGCTCTCTTGCTTTGCTTCTTACTTTTTTTTGTTGGTCCTTGTTCAAATAAGATGGTTTTATTGGAATCTATATATTTCACATTGCTTTTCTGATGGATTCTGGTACCATAACTTGGTTACCTGACTGCTTGCTCTTATGCATGAATGAGTGTTCTTGTGCATGCATTTCATGTGTTGATGTAATTTGTCATGTCTTGTTTTAGGTACAAATTTGATGATGAACGTGTGACAAAAGAGGATGTGAAGAGGGCTTTAGAAGAGCAGTACGGTGGTGAGGAAGAGGTAGTTTAGTTTTTGCTGTATCCAACCTGCTATAGTTCTCCTTGATTTTAAAGTTTCTTAATTGTCAACTGACCTATTGTTGTTTTCTTTCCAACAGTTGCCACAGACCAATCCTGGCTTCAATAATACTCCTTTCAAATTTACAAAATACTCAAATGCATACATGCTTGTGTATATACGGGACAGTGATAAGGACAAAATAATATGTAACGTGGATGAGAAAGACATAGCCGAACATCTAAGGGTAATGGTATATCAAGCATAAGTTCTGATTCCAGTGTCCAATTAAGAGAATGAACTGACATTCTATGTTCCATTTCAGATAAGGTTGAAGAAAGAACAAGAAGAGAAAGAGGACAAAAGGAAATATAAGGCACAAGCACACCTCTACACTATTATTAAGGTAAAGGTTTCTAGTTTATCCCCATTTTCACCATTGTTTGTTCAGATGTGGTATGACAGGTGTTTGGTGTGGAACAAAAAAATTATGGCAAAATTTAATGATGTGTTTAGGTTGCTCGAGATGAGGATCTGACAGAACAAATTGGAAGGGATATTTATTTTGACCTAGTGGACCATGACAAAGTTCGTAATTTCCGTGTTCAGAAACAAATGCCCTTTAATCTTTTCAAGGTACACCAGTACAGGCTGACTTTGTGCATTTATGTCTTCTGTATTCTTTTCTACCATTTGGGGTTATGTTTAATATGGGAATTCCTAAATTTGAAATGGTTAACAGGAGGAGGTTGCGAAAGAGTTTGGCATACCAGTGCAGTTTCAGCGTTTCTGGATTTGGGCCAAGAGACAAAACCACACATATCGCCCCAACCGACCATTGACACCTCAGGAAGAAACACAATCAGTACGTACTTTGTACTTCCTACCTTTGAATGGATTTTCAATACAAGATGCCCTGCTCCTTGCCCACATGCTTTGTTTTCAGTTCTATTCGTAATTCGTAATTCTTATTATATCTCTGAATTATTACTTTTCCTCCATTTTGGATTAATAGCGGATGTTGTCTTTGTATAGTCTAACACTGAACTGCTCAAGTTTATGAATGAATGATGGATGATTATAATTGTTATTATTATTTGTGAAATTGGAATTTAACTAAGTGCTTAATGGATTGGTCAGTGATAAACATTCGATCTCAGATTTGGAATGATTGATAGTGTTTTTAACTAGACTTCGGTGCTAAGAAGAGCTTGGTTTAGGTGATGCAAAGCTAATGATGACCGCTTGCATTTTTCAGGTTGGACACTTGAGAGAGGTATCAAATAAAACACACAATGCAGAGCTAAAGTTGTTTCTGGAAGTAGAGTTTGGGCCGGTAATCAGTCTTACTCTATTCTTGTTACTACCTGTGTAGTGAAGCTTATTGGAGTTCCAATTGCTGTATGAAAGGATTTTTTTCTTACATTTTATTGTTTCTGTACATTTTCCAGGATCTACGTCCTATTCCTCCGCCTGACAAAACCAAGGAAGATATCCTTCTTTTCTTTAAGCTTTATGAGCCTGAGAAACGAGAACTACGGTACATCCTGCTCTTTCTGCTTAGCTGAATATTTTTATCCTTTGCCTTGTGTTTGCTAATTTAAGTTTCTTTTCTGTTTCCAGTTTTGTTGGTAGGTTTTTTGTGAAGAGTTCTAGTAAACCAGCAGAGATTTTAGGAAAAAATTAAATCAACTGGCTGGTTTTACCCCTGATGAAGAAATTGAGCTTTATGAGGTGTGTTTCACTTTAAATTTTAGCATAAGGTTGTGTCGTAGCTCACACGCACACACGCACACACTCATATATATTGTACATAGACATGTAGAATATATATGTATATTTATAATTTGTTGCATGCTTTGCTGTAGCATTTTAAGCAAACTTAATACATGTTTTTGTGCTACAATTTCAGGAAATAAAGTTTGAGCCATGTATCATGTGCGAACATCTTGACAAGAAGACCTCATTTCGATCGAGTCAGGTAACTGTTGCTATATTGCATGCTTGGTATATTACAAATATGTGTGTATTATAGGAATTAACGTTTTGATTCTAGGTATATTTTCAGTTAACCATCGGTTGCGTTCCTTTTCCAGATTGAAGATGGGGATATTATTTGCTTTCAGAAGTCTACTCCTCTTGAAAGTGAAGAAGAATGTAAATATCCTGATGTTCCTTCATTTTTGGAATACGTACACAATCGCCAGGTACAGGCTGTGGAAACATTTAATTTGTTTTATAGCTATATTTTGTTGAATGTTAAACCTAACTGTGTTGAATGGTCTGATGCTTTACAGGTTGTTCATTTCCGTTCTTTGGAGAAACCTAAGGAGGAGGATTTCAGTTTAGAATTGTATGTACTTCCTGAACCATTGTCCCTCATAGTTGAACAGTCCATCATTGTTTTATTACTCAGTTCGTTAACTTTATTTTTCATTGTTATTTTTAGGTCAAAGCTACACACTTACGATGATGTGGTGGAGAAATTGGCTCGCCAAATTGGTTTGGAAGATCCCACCAAAATCAGACTCACTGCACATAACTGCTATTCTCAGCAACCTAAGCCCCAACCAATTAAATTTCGGGGCGTAGAGCATTTAACTGATATGTTAGTTCATTACAATCAAGTAGGTGGCACTGTATTGCCCTTCCTCTGTTTAATTCACTCTCATATGCATCATGTGGTGTGGCTACTAATTATGCTTATTGTTTCCTTTTACAGAGCTCTGATATTTTGTATTATGAAGTCTTGGACATCCCCCTGCCAGAATTGCAAGGCCTAAAAAATCTAAAAGTTGCTTTTCATCATGCTACAAAGATGAGGTATGAGTAATTTTTTTTCAGCGTCTTCTGCCTATGAACAGTCATTGTGCACATCATAAACTTGAGTGATGTTTACAGGTGGTGATTCACAATATTAGATTGCCCAAACAGAGCACTGTGGGGGATGTCATTAATGTACTTAAAACGAAGGTACTGTTTCTGTCAATCATATTTTAAGTTCTATCTGTATTTTCTTTTCGTTTTTGGTACAGGAAAGGTAATGATGCTGTCATATATCCCTTTATTTATTGCTTATAAGATATATCACTTTGACTAACTTTAAGAGTTATTAGATGCTCAATATAATTTATCTCTGCCTCCTTTGAAAGTTCTGTATAATAGATTTTACTCAATGTATGGTGTACTTGAAGCAGGTAGAGCTGTCTCATCCAAATGCAGAACTCCGACTGCTTGAGGTTTTCTATCACAAGATTTACAAGGTAATTATTTGTATGTCAGCTGTGTCAGCATATAGGTACTTTTTTGGGTCATTTTTCCCAGAAATGATATGCATGTTGCTGGCCCCATTTATGATGTGATTATGTATGATATGTTTGGCTTGTTTTCCTAAAGGACCTTGTTATATCAGAATTTTTTTCCGTCGAATAATGTATGTGCAGTCTGTAGTTGCACTCAGTTCCATCTGTTTGTTTTCAGATCTTCCCACACAGTGAGAAAATTGAGAATATAAATGACCAGTACTGGACTTTGCGTGCAGAGGAGGCAAGTTCATTTCTCCCCCTTTTCTTTATTTAGTTTTATTTTGGGAAGTTTCTTCTTTATTCAGTTGAAATTTTTTAGAATGTGGGTGTAGTTTTATGGGCAAGATTTGTAATTAGTTGGTTTTCCCTTTCCAGATTAGCATCCTTGCTTGGATTGATATTTTTACTTGGTACTTTCTATGCAGCTGACTTTTTCCCCCTCTTGTATCAGATTCCAGAAGAAGAGAAAAACTTGGGTCCCCATGATCGCTTGATTCATGTTTACCACTTTACAAAAGACACTGCACAGAACCAGATGGTATGTGAATTTTTATTAAATTTTTTTTGCAAGCGGAATTTTGGCTTGTTGATTGGTATTTTGTACAACTATTTGATTACTGTTTCAGTTAGAGATGAAGACTGATTAACCCAAATATATAAAGATTTTAGTAACTATCTTGTTCTTTGTACATTTCAACAGCAAGTACAAAATTTTGGGGAACCTTTCTTCTTGGTCATCCATGAAGGTGAAACTTTAGCTGAAGTTAAAGAACGGATACAAAAGAAATTGCAGGTCCCCGATGAGGAGTTTGCCAAGGTACTTGATTCAACCTTACATTTGTTGGAACGTTACTGGAGGAAAAGATTGTTTTACCTCTAGAATTAATGGGTTTTTATTTTTCTGCTCATCTATTTCCCTTTTGGTTGCGCAGTGGAAGTTTGCTTTCTTGTCACTTGGTCGTCCTGAGTACTTGCAGGATTCTGATGTTGTGTCCAGCCGTTTTCAGGTATGTTCTATGGTCTATTGTAATCTTGTGCTTATGGGTATTGCCGTTATTGCATTGTGGGTTCTTTAATTCCATTGTTATGGCTTTTGTTTTCCTCAGAGAAGAGATGTTTATGGTGCATGGGAGCAGTACCTTGGGTTGGAGCACTCTGATAATGCTCCTAAGAGAGCGTATGCAGTAAATCAGGTAAGTGCTGCTTCTCGGTGTTATACAAACTTCACATGCTCATGCCCAAATAGTGTATCGAATAAATGGATACCTCCCGTTTCTTGGTTTTGATTCACCTCACAATATATTGCAGAACCGTCACACGTACGAGAAGCCAGTTAAAATATACAACTAACAAGAGCTGATGGTCCTAGGCCGGTGCATCAGCTTGTACTTAGCATCCTTCAGTGCCACAGAGGCAGTCTGAAAATAGCCAGGATGCGAAACAATGTAGCTCGTATCATATAGGGGTGATTTGGTTAGGATTCGATTGTTGTCTTTTGGGCTCAAATGTTGATTCATGTGGTTGCGGAACTGGAAGATCATCTCCCGATGTGTCGTAAAATTGTTAATCCCTCTGCTGGAGTTCTGCTCTGATCCTTTTGTTTGTTTGTTTTGCCTCCTTGGTGAAGGCGCCGCCTCGCTTTCGGAGGTTGGTTGCGTTCCCTATACAGCTCCGTTGTAATTTAGCAGTACATAAGGAGATTTTGAGGGCATTTGTATCGGGTACAGTCGGCTGCATTTGCATTTAGGATTGTTCCGTAATATTATTTTTCTGTTCAATTAATTTTATCTTAATTTCGTGAAAGAGATGGGAAAAAACTGCACAAGGGGTTTGTATTAGCGTGGTTGGCTTGTTCACAATTCTGGCTCTCAGATTGTATAAGATATATGATTTCGAATTGTCGTGTTTGTGTGCATCAATCTGAACCGTTTATTTTTCAGTTCATCTATGCAGTGTTTATGATTTCGCATGTCAGTTTTGCACAAGTCACTGCGTCGTCCATGCATGCAGGACATGTTGATTTATATACCAAAATAGATGTATAAGATACACTATTGAAATTCAAGTGAAAAACGCTTTTCGGCAATGCAGTTCAATTGATCCAGGAACATTAAAATATGAGTACGCATATCCCTTTTACTTGTCCTTTCTAAATTTTTTATTATTAAGGAGAGGGAAGGGTTCGAAACTATTACAATAATTTAGGGATGGATAAGGTTTCGAATCCGGGATGCATAGATAGAAACTCAACACCTTATCGAGAAATTTTTCAACATGCTTAGTATTTGGGACGGTACACCACATGTTATTATACAATTGGAGGAAAGTTTATTTTTCCAAGTGTCCTTCTAATTGTGTAATAACATGTGCCGTACTATTTCATGTTTCAAGTACATTAAAAAATCTCTATATTGGACCACATGTCCCTTTTAGTTTTTTATATTTTATCTTATACAGTAAAAACTCTCTAAAGTAATACTCTGTAAAGGAATAATCTTCTAAAGTCAAACAATTTTGGTCCCAACTTGGTACTAGTTATGTGTAGGAATAAACTTCATACGGTGATAAGTTATAATTTTTTTTTGGTCCCATCTTAGGAAACACATCGCCACACAGTAATAATTGTCGATGAGTACAAAAATATGCAATATCACAAATAAAAGTTTAAGATGAACTCAATATTTCTCTAAAGTTGTTTGGGACAAGGCTTTAGCTTTTAAAGTTGATACCACCTCTTTAAGCTTGTGGGTAATATAATACTTTGTCAACACGGACACCTTGTTGAAGCCGCAATGTTTCTAACTTCTCAAGCATGTTTACAACTTCTTGGCATGAAAATTTGGGTATTTCCACACACATTCATTAAGGATAAATAAGTTAATAAATAATATTTTTAACTACACCTCTATTATTTAATCACCTCTCTAAAATATGAAATTAACTTGGTCCCAACTTTATGACTTTATAGAGGTTTATCTCTGCAATGCCAAAGCAAATTGATATCCGAATTTGGGGTTTGGGGATTAATCCAATCTAATAAACATAGCAAGCCATGTTGACTCTGGGGGATGCCTTGAGTGTTGAATTAAAAAAGGGGAACTTTAACGAAAAGCTCCCGGTACTGTTCACTTTAACGAAAAATCACATTTTTACACTAAAAAATCAATCCTGGTACTATTCACTTTACCCTTTATTTTGTCCTTATCATTAAAACTCAAAGTTTCCAAATCCTTTTCATTAGTTTTCTTTTAAAAAAGAGTGGTTCTGTTTACACTCAAAAGCCTCTTCAGTTTTGTTGAAAATAAAAGAACACTATGCCCATCTGCGGAATGACCTGAAGAAATCCAGGATTTCCAACATCTGCATACATTGGGCGCTTGCTGTGAACAAGGGCGACCACAAGTGCGGTCCGATGGCCGCCGTACAAGCTAGAAAAAACTGGTGAAAAATCACCTTCCATTTGGTATTGAGAGTTCAAATGCAAGCTTAGCGTTAGAAGTAGGTGAAAAAGCCACAATGACTTTGACATGAATACCACTTTTAAAAATAAGACCAATTAGCTTAAGGTACAACGAAAATACCAAAAAACTCCTTTCTTTTCAAGCAAGCAAATATGGTGGTATCAATCTGTTTGAGGAACTTGAGAGGGTACATGACTGCCGGAAATGAAAAGAATCATGATGAAAAAAACAGGATTGAATGAGGCATTGTAACCAATTGACCCGCGATACAGGTCATAGAAGCCTTTTTACGAGCAATTGTTCACAATGTCCCTCGCAATCCTGTTTCTTCGTCATGTTAATTTTCTTATTCAGCCATGTAGTAACGTCTCAATTTCCTCAAAACACATTGTTACCACTGTATCTGCTTAATTGAAAGAAAGAGTTTGTTTGTATTATTGTTCTTCCTCAGCTAATTTGGTCTATTTATACAGGTTGCGCTCACGTTAAAAATCATGGTGGCTTTTTCACCTAACCCTCATGCTAAAAGCTTGCATTTCAACTCCAAAGACCAAAATTACCAACACTGATTTCATGAAGCTATTCAAGTTGAGATTATTCAACCTGATCTTGCATGGGATTTTTTACACTACTCTGAGTGTCTTAACCGTAAGATCTTTGTTTAAAAAAAAATACAAAAACCAGGATCTAAAAACGGTAAAAACATTCGAAGTATTTTGTAACCCAGAGCAACCTATTTCAATTCAATGTAGAATGGTTATGTTAACACTCAAAACTCATTTCAGGACCCAAATACATACTTTTCTTAAATGACTTCAGTATCCTCTTGCAAAATGACTGATAAGTCCACAGACAAATCCAACAACAACAACAACAACAACAACAAAGCCTTTTCCCACTTAGTGGGGTCGGCTATATGAATCCTAGAACGCCATTGTGCTCGGTTTTGTGTCATGTCCTCCGTTAGATCCAAGTACTCAAGTCTTTTCTTAGGGTCTCTTCCAAAGTTTTCCTAGGTCTTCCTCTACCCCTTCGGCCCTGAACCCCTGTCCCGTAGTCACATTTTCGAACCGGAGCGTCAGTAGGCCTTCTTTGCACATGTCCAAACCACCGGAACCGATTTTCTCTCATATTTCCTTCAATTTTGGCTACTCCTACTTTACCTCGGATATCCTCATTCCCAATCTTATCCTTTCTCGTGTGCCCATACATCCCACGAAGCATCCTCATCTCCGCTACACCCATTTTGTGTACGTGTTGATGCTTCACAGCCCAACATTCTGTGCCATACAACATCGCTGGCCTTATTGCCGTCCTATAAAATTTTCCCTTGAGCTTCAGTGGCCTACGACGGTCACACAACACGCCGGATGCACTCTTACACTTCATCCATCTAGCTTGTATTCTATGGTTGAGATCTCCATCTAATTCTCCGTTCTCTTGCAAGATCCTAGGTAGCGAAAACGGTCACTTTTTGTGATCTTCGCTAGATTGCTCCGGTCATTAGTGTGGATAAGTATATAAATGGATAGAGATAGGAAAGCAAACACAAGATGTACGTGGTTCACCCAGATTGGCTACGTCCACGGAATAGAGGAGTTCTCATTAATTGTGAAGGGTTTGCACAAGTACATAGGTTCAAGTTCTCCTTTAGTGAGTACAAGTGAATGATTTAGTACAAATGACATTAGGAAATATTGTGGGAGAATGATCTCGTAACCACGAAACTTCTAAGTACCGGAGTGTGGTATCGTCTTGACTTGCCTTATCTGTCTCATAAGTAGATGTGGCATCTTAAGTGAAAACCAAAAATTAAAAACGAAATAGTTCTCGAACGGAACTTAAAAAAAAACAAACCTAATGCGCCAATTCCGTTGCATAATTGGGTAAAAGGCTAACGCAGTTCTGTCAGCAGGATTCGTAAGACTCGTATTTATGAAACTCCATTGGATATGATCTACATCCCGTTACAAAACTTGGTACGATATTAAACCATTTACGGTCTAAAAAATCGATTCATGCGTACAAGCAGGAGCAAAGAGCTCGCTTTCAGCCCTATATCTATGAAACAGCACCAAATCAGGTCGTTGATTTCGACATCTATAAACATATGGTGGTAAAGAGATTTCAAATGAAACATGTGTGCATATGCCAACAAGTATGGATGCACCGCAGGCATGCTATTGTTCTTGCATGAAATCAAAGTCTATGAAGAAGCAAAAAAAAGAACTTACCTAAGCCCAAGGACGAAATTTCATCTTGATGAAAGAAATTATTCCCCCTTGCTTTCTGTTTCAGGCTTGAATTAATCTTCTCGACAGCGGCAACCAAGTCCTGAAAGTCTGAGTTCAACACAACACAATTTTTCACAAATTGGAAACAAAACGAACAACAAATTTGACGTCATACAGTAAACTACAAAGCGAACTGTGATATTTGATGAGGATTGATATATTCATTTAAGACTAAAACTGGTAAGTTTCTAAATGCACATAAAGGCACGGAAAGTTTGTCAACATCGATCTTATTCTACCCTAATGTCATTCTTATTTGCATTCATTTTTCTTTCTCAATGAAGACACTACCTCGATAACGATATCCTCTGAGTTACACGGTGCATCATACATATTCATAAACTTTTCCAGAGTCCTCAACGCCATCTATTACATTACCTCACATCTTGGTCGATTCCATTGGCTTTATATAAATTTGCACATTTTAACTTGTATCAATTGGATGGAAAAAAAAAAACAAAAAAAAAAAGAAAAAGCCTTCATCTGCAATGAGACTACTGATTTAGCCAAGTGAAATCCTCAAACCATGCGTAAATCTGCTATGAAGCATTCTCAAACAATGTTCCAAGACAAGACGATGACCAATGACAAACCTGAGCTCTCTCGTGGTCTATACCCTTGGGGTTGCTAAAACGGGAAACCTTTAGGATATCATTTTTAACACTCAAGCACAATTAGCATGGAAACTTTATCACTAGATAGATACTTCACTATCCAACATTCAACATCTTACAGCTATCAGAATAATAGTCAATTTCTCAGTCATTCAATAGATACTTCTCTCTATATTTTATCACCATAAGGATTCCAAATGCCGGTATAAGAGTCGTGTGAGAATATGAGTATGAGATAGAGAAGTTTTGGATCGGCTATAGGTGTTCAGTTTGATAGAAAAGTCTTGTTGACAAAAGGAATGCTAATCCTTGGCAAAGAAGGATCTTGTATAGCATTGAGATCAGTTCATGTATAACAAGGAAATAAGTGTTTGTTTCGTATATGGATTTTAATAGGGAATCCTAATCTGTCAAGGTAAAGATTATATGTGTATATATATAATGACCTCTCTTCTCACAGAAAAAACACTCATACTGGACTTAATCCTATTTGAAAGTCGAGTTCTAGATAATCTGCAAGAGAAGAGAAGGTTCACTGGAAGCTTGGTGCTATGGCTTCGAGTTCTGGAGTTGCT